TCTTTTTCCGTTGTCCTTTTGATTTTCCACTATATCCACTTTTCTCCACTGTATTGGGAAATTGAATAATCTCCTCCTCAACCCTACCCTCTTTCGCATTCAGCTCCTCTTCCATTCTGATTCTAAATAGTTCCAAGATCAACTCCCAAATGTTGTCCCCTACTTCTCTCTCTTCTGCTTCTGAATTTATCTCCCCCACTACCTCTGTCACTTGTCCTAAATCAAACGAATTGGCAGACTTTATAGATGGGCTGGAATCACCTGTAGGCCAGACACACACAAGACTTGGGGAAACAGAGTTAGTAACCAAAAACTGAACCTGAAAACAATCCAAACCTTGGGAGGAAGAAGACGCAATATGAGTTGCTGGAATAGCCTGAACCCCTTTTGTTTGACTTTCGCTGGGAATAGGACCCTCGAAAACAAGATCTGGATTGATTGCAGTGGCAAAACAGGCAGTTTATAGCTCTGCTTGGAGGAACCAGATTGCCAACACACACCGTACAAGCACCCATTCCCTGGTCTTTACAAAAGATTGAATCCCCTTTTCTCCCTGTTTCAGCTTTCTCCTCACCCGAGCCTGTTTTCTTTCTTTCCAACTCCTTTCCAGGCTGAACCAACTCTCCTGGAAGTGTACAAGCCTCTCTTTAATCCTAGGTCATCTTCCTCCCCAAACCTTGAACGRCATTTWCTCTGTATACTACCATAGCTGGACTCTTCAACATACAACTCCTCTTTCAGAGACTCATCATCTACACTTACCCAGTCTGAAGCAGAATCCTCCTCTTCTAACCTCATGCGATTATATCTCGGATTAGGTTTATCTGGGCTAGTGGAGTAAGAGACCAGTCTTGGCTGCCACGCTAAAGTACCAGACATTCGTTTTTCTTTCGAGCCAGTTGCAGACCAATCTGAAGAGGACGAAGATATACCACAGCGAATGTCCATAGTCTTTTGAGCCTTGTTCCACCTCACGTGCCTATTTAAGTGGTCACCTGATTTATCTATGGGCTTACTTGCTGTTAGAGTCTTATTTCCAGGCCCATCCACTTGAAGTTTAAGACTGGGCTCACCAGTACCCCTCACCTCAACCGTTAGCCCATCTTTATAATTTTGAACCTAACCCAGTCTTTTTAAAAGTTTAGTATTGGTTCCCTGACTGCAGGCCCGGGCCATATCAAATGACAACCCACCTGGTTGCTGTTCCAATCTACGTCCACCTGTCCCCACCTTTGGACACTTGTTCAAATTCAAAAAATCTTCTGACAGATTTTCTCCACCTTTGGACGTTACTACCTGAGCAAAAGTCCTAGCCTGATCCTCTGATTTGCCAATTAAAAGTGAATGTGTGGATTCAAAAATAAGAAACGGTTCAGGTGGTTTAATTTGCAAAATAGATCTTAAGAAGGCTTATGAAGTGGGGTTTTTTGGAGGAGGTGCGTTGGCTTGATGGGTAGCTGGATTTATGCATATCATCCTGTTCTTTTCGGTGGTTAATGGTGCATCAACTGAACTTTTCGGTCAACCTTTTTGGCCATGTTAGAGTCACAGCAGGCAGATATGTGAGATTTACTTAAAGGCTAGAAATGTAATTCAAGATGATTATTGAGGATGACTCAAGGCAGTGATAGGTTGGTCAAGAAAACCGAGACAGTAGTATGGCTTAGAAAGATGAAATCAAGAAATTTAAGTGGATAGCAAGAAATATGATTGTAAAATATCAGTCATTAGGTGCAAAGATTGGCAAATGGGTTGGCAGATATATTAGCCAAACAAGGGGTAATCAGGGCTCAAATGTAATTTGATAATTGTTGATTGAGGAAGTAGTTTAACATCCCCTTTGGATGCCTGTATTGTCTGTACATTTTGTTTATTTCATTAATAAAACTTGTTATTTATCAAACAATAAAAAGATCAGAAATGTTATTTTGTTTAATTGTTTTGGGTGCCATCTCATCACCCTCTTAGATCTTGTACTCTTTTCATTTAGTTTCTACTGTCAAAAAAAATGTAGCTTTTTTTTTGATAAATAAAAAAAAAATGTAGCTTTTTTTTTACAATGAAAGTTTGGTGGTGAACAGATACAATGTAAAAATCTTCTTGTAATAGAGCTTCAAACAAATGACAACTTCAATTTGATGAGGTTCTACAGGACATCATAAACTAGTAAAATAGTTTTCTTTTTTTATTCAGTCACTAAATCTGTGATCCCTTTATGATTGATATTCCAAGGTTTATTAACTGCCATACATCACAACCTCAGCACCAGTCTTTTCTGAACATAATAAACTAAATGAAGACCAAAAGACGTGGTGCAGGATGTGCTATAGTTCGTCTCTCTTCTCCATATAAGTAATCTAGGAATTCATTACCATAGAACTAAATGGGTTTCAATTTTTGGTCTTGAATATTTTACAACGCAACTATAAATGATTACACAAGCATAATTTTGAAGTGAAAAAAATATTTCAAGAATAAAAGGAGGGGCTTATTATGATGGTTCCCTTTGTCTGTAGGTTTATCCAAGAGGTAAGGCTTTTATTATGTTCCCCTGGATAACCGTATTTCTTTCATTTTGTTAACTCTAAGGTGGTTAAACATTGAAGAAGTTCTAAAAGTTCTAACTTTGGAAAATTCATGACATCCTGCACTAGTTAACACAAGAATTGAAGGTTTAAAAGCTGCAAACCTAAAGGATCAATGCACCAAAGATAATCAGAAGATGTATCTCCAATAAGCCCACCCTCCTCCCCAAGAATAAGATGTTCCTCAAAGTTCTTTCTCAACACTCCTAGAATAGCAGCTTCACTCATTTTATCTGTGCTGAAAGAATATTGAAAATATAATGTAAGCATTTTCAATTCAGTTCCATGAACCTTTCTCTTTAGCTGGTTTAGAATAAACCAAATGATAAATAGCAAATAATCAATAACCCATAAATCTTTGTTGAATTCAAAGCATAGATAATTGCAGAGTGGTGGCTTTGTCCTCTAAAACACAAAAAGTCCAAAACTAATTCTAGATCACATAAAAGGCCATTGCCCAATGTTGGTACCAGCTATCTGGGGTCTTGGAAGGGGTGAACTAGATACCTACCTAACCTTTAGCACTTTTTTGCATAGAGTGTCCACTCTCATACTTGACCCTGTATCCTCATGCTTATCAATTCCAGATTTTACCATTACACTAAGCAATTGCCCATAGTTATAGATCACATACATTAAAAAAAAAAAAAAGATAGTATGCTGAATAAAGACGGAAAAACAATGAAACTACAGAGGAATTCGATTACCACAAATCAATAGGTTGAAATTTATGCTTGCACTAAAATCAAATGAACTTCACAAAGTCCAATTTTGGTGGTGTAGTTTGGGTAAACAGGACAATTGGGCTTCGGAAAGGACAGGCTTTTAGATCTCAAGGTGAAACTTTTCTAGTTTTCTCAGGTCAAATGCAACACTAATTCAAGCTGAGCTATTTTCTTCACTTCAAGGGCTAGGATTGGCAAGTCTCAATAGGATAGCTGGAGGTTGAGAAATACTCCCAACAATAAATTACATGGATAAGAGAGAAGATCTCTAAGCCATGATTGCATCTTCATGCTATTACAAAGGAACAATCTTTGGCATCCAGATTGAACAGTCCATTTGTATCGGTCCGCCAACTCATCAGCTAGAGAAGGGACTAATAAGGAAGATTTGTATCTGGGTCCTGCCCAGGGAGGATGGATTAGTATTGTACATGAAGGTACCTTTTTCTTCTTTTTTGTTTAGTGCAAAATGTATTATATTTCTGTAACGAGGGCAAGGCACCCTCAGAAAGATTTACATGAGGGTAGCTTTGCTTTCTAGGAGCCTCTGGCAGGTCTAAACATAGCATGTGCCATATCCATGGTTCAACATTCAGTTTTAGTAAGAGCTCTGTCATGCCCAAGATATCTTATAGCTAAAGTAGTTTTAGCAAAGGAGTTCAAGATTAAAGATTAAAAGACGATATCTTTATTTCCCAAAGAAAAATGTATACTAGATTTTCTAGAAAACATGCAAAAGCTTGGACCAAGGACAATAAATATGCCCATAGATCCAAATATAAAGTTAGATGATTATAGCAGAGATGCTGTTTAGGATGTAGGGATATTTAAATGACTTGTAGGGAATTTGATCTATCTTCCCCTTACAAGGCCAGATATCGTTCACTTTGTAGGTATTGTGAGGTAGTTTATGCACTAACCTATGCTATCTCAAAGGGGTGCCAGGGGAGTGGCATGGGAATCTGGAATTAATTATAATAACCCAGATTTCAGCAGGCTTTCAAATTCTGCCTGGGCTGACTTAGGGTTTTAATTTATAAATTGTGTACATCTGTAGTTTTCCCAAAAATCAATAGAAAATGTTAGTATATAAAAAATGACCATGTAAACATCTTATTAAAAAAAGCTTCAAACAAACGAGGTTATACAGGAAACCATCATAAACTAGTAAAATATTTTTCCTCACTCAGTAACCAAATCTGTGAGCCCTTTATAATTAATATTCCGAGGCTTATTGACTGCATCCATCACAACCTGTAAAACGAAATCATTAAACATATAAAATGTGAAGTGTGAAATATTACATGGATACAAAGAAAAGCCAAGAAGAAACTACTGCATGGATCAGAGCTAACATTATGCTGATAATCCTACAAAAAACCTAGAATTAGTAATAACATAATCCAATATGATATAGACATAATACAAACTAAAAGAACAAGAAGGATAAGAAAAGAAGTTAACTCCTGCCTCCTGCTAAAATTTAGTTTGTTATGAATTAGCAACTTGAATCCTGTATAAAAGGAGGGTTCTCTCAGATGACACCAGAATAAAATATTTTGCCAAACTATTACTAATGTGAATTTTGAATGATAGTGAAACAGTAGACCGGACCTAATGTTTACTTGGTGGTTCCATACATTATGTTTGTTGGTTCGGCTGTCTTAATTTATATGTTTATCCTTGTTGGGTCTTAAGTCATTAGTTATTGGGCCTTAGTTACTGGGCCTAATCTTATTTAGTGTTTATTTGACTAGGTGTCCCTCCACTAATCAGGGGCATTCTGGTCTATTTATGTAACATTATGTAATGTTGTTATATATAATAGATTAGGGCTGGCTGAGAACTAATTCTGCCGCCCATCTCATATCTTCTTCTTCTTCTCTCATTCGACAGCTCTATTTCAGCAAACAATGTTATCTGTAATTTTTTGTCTTTTTTATTGCCAGTTTACTTTGCCGTTATAGGTGGCAGGGTATTATTCTTTCTACATGTTATTATGTTTTCTCATATAAATAATAATGATTGGGGCAGCAGGACCATTACATTCTGCCCTCTTCTATTCTCTCTTCTCCGCCTTCTTCTCTTACTCTGCTTTCTTCTTTTTTTCTTGGCAGATCACATCCTAAACCTAGTATGTAAACAGCTGTAAATTCAAGTTGGTATCAGAGCAGGATTACATTTGTTTAGAGATCTCATGTAAGCTTAAGTCAACCAGCGGCATGAGATTCTTTTAGGGCTGGAGTTTCAGTCTTTTTTGGCCTAATTCTTGGAGATTGAAGCATTGCCCAAGGTTGTTTCTTGCTTTGGAGATTGCATAGTGATTAGAAAGAATCAGAGATACCAATGCTGTTGAGGTTTAGGGATTATATCTCAGATTGAAGGTAGCACTCAGTTTTCTGGGTGGTTTTTCAATTTTCCTTGAGATTAACAGCAGGAGATAGGCTTCTTGAAACATCTGGAGGGAGCCGTAGATATTTTAGACTTTCTCCAGGGTTGCTTTTAGGTTTTCTCTTGAGAAACATTCAGTTTATTGTTCATCTGGTCCTACTCAGTTTTTGGGATACTTTTTTCTATTTGGAAAGAGGTCAATTGAGTTTCTTTTCTTTGCTTAGTTCAGCATGGAGACTGTTGAGTGGGCCGATTTGTGTTTAGTTTATTTTCTTTTAAATTAAGAAGTTGTTGGGCCTTGGGCCCATTAGTTTTTATTTTTTCAAGAGTTGTAACTATTTAGTTTGAGTTGCC